TGACACCGTCCCTCAACACCGTCCCTCAAGAGGGACGGTGAGGGACGGTGTTTCTGATTGCTTCGGTTCTGGTGAGTGTGTATCTAGTGTGATTCGAACCCATGTCGTTTGTATTGGGCGTTTTTTTATTTCCCATGTTAGCTACGCCGTAATATGCAACCACTTCCCCGTTTTATTGTGATTTTGAGTGTTTAATGATGTCTTCCTCACGCGTCACGCCATGACCCAGTTTCAACCACACGGCCATTTTGCAACACAGTTCGTGACCCTCGGCGTCACCCGACTGACTATATGAGCGTTCTCTTCAACTGTTAAGCTAGTAGGATTTATTACCGTTATTATCATTATATTGTCACGTGATTTGTTTTACCTTATGTGTAATGTCTTAAGTATCTTTATTGTAATTTGTATATACCAATTCGTATATACCGAGGAAACGACCCCGATTGAAGGTCATGTATTTTATGACGTCACCAATTCGGGTGTAGGTACTGCTTCTAGATCTGTGCCCTTAACACACATACCAAGAGCATGGGGATAACAAAAACTGAGGCTCAGTCTCCCAACTAAGGGACTGTGTGTAAGGCTACCCCAAACGCAGTGGAACCAGAACAATGGCTATAACAGAATGGAAATAATACCGTAATACTAATGCTCAAAATCCCTGCCAAAGTACTTTGAAAAAGTCTGCAATTGACCAATTTCCTCCCTCCGAAGAATTCAATCGGGACACCCGTTCCTTACCTTTGACAGTGTATTGATATCACTGGATAATTTTGAAATGACAGATTGGGAAATCTCAATATCACGTTTCAGTCTGTCCCGTTCATGAACTTCCTTGACATATTGTTTTCTAAGTGATTCCATAAGTGTGAATGGAAAATAACACATCCAGCGTGCCTTTGATGATTCTAAAGTTAATCTCTGATTCGGTTCTCTGTTTCGAATTCAAACACTCGGGGTTGATCACTATTTGTTTCAGGTTGAAAATTTAAAGTGTTCTTTACTGGCTGGTCTGTCAATGTTGTGTGTGAAATACTAGTACAAAAAAATATGTATCTAGTAAAAATATACATTTACAACTATATACGCGAATTAAACAGTGAATATTGTCGAATTTGACGCTAACTTTGTTTCAACCCGGAAGTTCTTTTAACATAATGTCTGCGCCTGTGCTGAAACTCGTGAGTACATATAAATGTTTAAACCACAATAAAATGTGTTGTATTTCCCCAAATTTTGTTCTGGTGTTACTAGGACTGCAGTATAAACAGTGACTCGTCAACCTACTTGGTCATTTAGCTTTAACGTCAATCACGTACAATGGGGCGTCAGTGCTATCTTCTGCTGATCATTCGGCCCCACGAGTGATAAGCGGTAGAAGGCCAACCAACATGACTGTACTCAGGGCTTTGCTTCGCCCATCAGGACGATGTTCATCTCATTGACGCTTAAAAACACGACGAAGCAAGCAAGTGTACTGAGCTCCTGTGATACCGAAGTCTAACTATGGCCACTATGAAATACTACTTGTTTTTGTGTTTTCCCATGAATCCCTCGTTATGTACATGACCTGAGACTGTGCCACATGGATTATTTTACTACCGAGCGATCCATCAGAAAAATATAACCCTTACATTCCAAATACAGTAACTAGACGACAGAGAAGCAACTTCTAATTCCTATTTATGGACATAGGTCAGACCACAGTACCTCGATTCACACTGTCAGACCATGGAAGGTAGGGGAGAAAGATAGCTATTGTTCTCCCCTATTCTATGCTTTGACGTGAATACCGGTAATTACCGGTAGTATTCAAGTCAGCTTAGAAACAGTCAGAAGATAACAGAACATTTTTTACTTCATAGAACGGAGCAGTCTATCATCTACCCAATCTGGAAAACAACCAATAAGTATTTTATTTACGGTGCCAGGCCTTATCAATGATCTATATCATGTGAACCATTCTGTGCTTGTACATTGTATATTGTTGCCTCTCTTACTAGTTCAAGTTATTCAGTCCCCAACCCATTTTAAAAAAGCGGAAGTGATAATGCGGTGAAACGAAAACATAGATATTGATGATAATTTAAGGCTTGAAACAAAAGATATAAATTTTAATAAAACTTGTCCTGTCTTCTCTCCTATTTCCTTCCATGTTCAGAAAAAGACTGTGTCAGTACTGAAAAATAACTCACAAAAAACAACCCTTTCATTCACAATACAGTAGAGGAAAGAGAGGCAACTTCTGATGTGCATGAACAAATTGTTCTGTCCTAAAAAAGACAAAAATCAACTGTCCATTTCAAAAATAAATTTAGACGTGAAGAAATTGAACAAAAAAGATGGCGGTAATATGTCAGTCTTCAAAACACTGCCAGAACTAATCGCAAATGAGATTAAAAATGCTTTTCCATTCTGTTTTCACACCTTTCATACCTCAACTGCAGTGAAGAAATCATTTTTCTTATTTTTACTTTTCGTTCCAGTTTATCTTTAAGAATATTGTACAGTACACAAGTCAATGTGTGTGTTTTTTTACCTCGGTACATGTATATATATCATACTCAATGTAATTTTTGTTCTGCATTCCCTGAGGTAGCCCAGGACTCAGAACAAGTTTGTGAAGGAAACAGTTCATTCTATGAGTATAATTTTGGATATGACTGATTCTAATTTAGCTGTTGCCTAAATCAGGACCCAGAGAAGCTTATTATCACACTCCCAATTCATACAATTTTGAAGAGATTTATACATGTAGCACTTCTCCCTTAATGTATCATGTCATTGTGTTCAGAAGAGCCAATTTGACCGCTTAGGTCATTTTCAAGGCCTGCAAAATAAACAACAATGAAATCAAGTTAATTAAATAGTATATGAATAAATTAATCCTGATCTTGAGATCCCAATTCATGTTTTAATCTGTCCAGGAAACCATGGAAGATGATTCTGATTCTGATTGGAGTGAGGATGAGCATAGTGGAAATGAGGACAAACAAGCCGCCGATCCAGAATTACAAATAATGGTTTGTTAAAAATAGTGCATTATTTTTCAAAGAAAATCTGTTGAAAAATTAGATTGATAAGCTGATTGTTTCAAGCAAAGAATGTTTGTCAATTTAATATTTTATATCTAATATGTGGTGCAGTAATAATTGCAGAGTGATTTTCTTCATTTACAAAACCGATAAATGTCACTTTATACTTGAATACATTTTAACCACTGCCGATTACAATTCAAATTACAAATTTATGTACATACTATGAAAATTCTTCATCATGTATGCTTATGTTGTGACATGGAGCGAGGCTATTAGGCACTGCATGCTAGCGTGGGTTTGAGTCATGCATGCAGTACGTGTCTACCTTGATTTGACATGGTATTTATATTACAATGTACCGGTACCATGCTGTTTATTAGATGTTACATGTAGCTACCGGTACTATGAATTTACAATTATTTGGTGTGTTTTTTTTACGACGTTGCTAGCTATTCTAAAATTTGAAATAACAGCTACATTGCATGACGAATGCTCTGCATATTAATAAATGCTCTGAAAATATGTATTTGAGTAGCAAAGGAAGCATTGTTTTCTTCTTCGTAGTTTGGCAATCATGTAATCATTATAAATGTTGTCATTAACAAAAAGATATGTTTGTTTTACAGGCTGCAATAAGGAATGGTACGTATTGTTACATCTTGTGTTTTGATGTTGCTATAATCACATCATGTATACATTTTGTTACCTTGCCCGTACCATCAAAGATGGAAGGGAAAGGTATATTAAGGGAAAAATTTTGTCCGGCGTTGTCGTCGTTGTCGTCGTCGTTGTTAATTGTTATTGTGTACATAATAACTTTACTAATTCTATTCCAAACTTTATCAAACTTTGTCACCTTATTCATCAGTATAAAGTCTTCCTTGAGTTTGAACAACAGATGTCCTGTATGAAAATATCATGCAAAAATTGAGAAAATCTGATAAAATATTTTGACTGTTTCTACTTGACTGATCACTGGTGATACACATCAAAGGTCACTGATCTCAGTGGAAATATGCATTGTTGTATGTGTTCAATGAAGCAAATGATTTATCTTGTAATAATATCCTTGGTAATGTATCTCAGAATCCCATACTGGGTTTCAAAACCAACTCATGGAGAGATTGCACAGTCTGATACACATTTGCAAATCTACCAATAAAATC